CAGAGCAAGCCATCTGATATGATTTGTCTGTGTCTCCACCCAAATCTCATCTTGAATTCCCACATCTTGTGGGAGGGACTCTGTGGGAGGTAATTCAATCCTAAGGGCAAGTCTTTCTGTGCTGTTTTCATGATAGTGAATAAGTCTTACAAGATTTGATGGTTTTAGAAAGAGGAGTTTCCTTGCACAATCTCACTTTTCTTGTCTGCCTCCAGGTGAGACATGCCTTTCACCTTTGTGAGGCCTCTCAGCCACAGGGAACTGTAAGGCAATTAAGCTTCTTTCTTTTGTAAATTGCCTAGTCTCTGGTATGTCTTTTTCAGCAGTATGAAAGCATGCTAATACGGTAAATGGGTATCAGTAGAGTGGGGCATGGCTGAAAGGCGCCCGATAATGGGGAGGCGACTTTGGAACTGGGTAACAGACAGAGGTTGAACCAGTTAGAGGGCTCAGAAAAAGCAGGAAAATGTGGGGAAGTTAGGAACTCCCTGGAGACTTGTTTAATGGCTTTGACCAAAATGCTGATAATGACATGGACAATGAAATCCAGGCTGAGGTGGTCTTAGATGGAGACGAGGAACTTATGGGGAACTGGAGCAAATGTGACTCTTGTTAAATTTTAGCAAAGAGGCTGGTGGCATTTTGCCTCTGCCCTGGAGATCTGTGGAACTTTGAACTTGAGAGACATGATTTAGGGCATCTGGCAGAAGAAATTTCTAAGCAAAGCATTCAAGAAATGACTTGAATGCTGTTAAAGGCATTCAGTTTTAAAAGGGAAACTGCATAAAAGTTTGGACAATTTGCAGCTTGACAATGCAATAGAAGAGCAAATCCCATTTTTCTGAGAAGAAATTCAAGCCAGCTGCAGAAATTTGCATAAGTAATGAGGAGCCAAATATTAATCACCAAGACAATGGGAAAAATGTCTCTAGGCATGTCAGAGACCTTTGTGGCAGCCTCTCCCATCACAGGTCTGAAGATAGAGGAGAAAAAAATGGTTTTGTGGATCGGGTCCAGGATCCCACTGCTGTGTGCAGTCTAGGGACTTAGCAAGCTGTGTCCCAGCCACTCCAGCTGTGACCAAAAGAGGCCAAGGTACAGCTTAGGCTGTTGTTTCAGAGGGTGGAAGCCACAAGCCTTGGCGGCTACCACATGGTGTTGAGCCTGTGGATGCACAGAAGTCATGAATTGAGGTTTGGGAACCTCCGCCAAGATTTCAGAGGATGTATAGAGATGCTGGGATCCCCAGGAAAAAGTTTGTTGCAGGGGTGCGGCCCTTATGGAGAGCCTCTGCTAGGGCAGTGTAGAAGGGAAATGTGGGGTCGGAGTCCCACCAGAGTCCCTACTGGAGCACCACCGAGTGGAGTTGTGAGAAGAGGGGCACCATCCTCCAGACCTCAGAATGGTAGATCTACTGACTACTTGAACCATGCACCTAAAAAAGCCACAGACACTCAATGCTAGCCCATGAAGGCAGCCAGGAAGGCAGGTGTACCTTGCAAAGCCACAGGGGCGGAGCTACCCAAGACAATGAGAACCTACCTCTTGCATCAGCATGACCTGGATGTGAGACATGGAGTCAAAGATCATTTTGGAACTTTAAGATTTGACTGCCCCACTGCATTCTGAACTTGCATGCAGCCTGTAGACCCTTTATTTTGGCCAATTTCTCCCACTTAGAATGGCTGTATTTACCCAACACCTGTACTCCCATTGTATCCAGGAAGTAACTAACTTTCTTTTGATTTTACAGACTCATAGGCAAAAGGAACTTGCTTTGTCTCAGATGAGACTTTGGACTATGGACTTGTGAGTTAATGCTGAAATGACTTAAGACTTTAGGAGACTATTAGGAAGGCAAGATTGGTTTTGAAATGTGAGGACATGAGATTCGGGAGGGGCCAGGCCAGAATGATATAGTTTGGCTATATCCCCACCCAAACCTTATCTTGAATTCTCACATGTTGTGGGAGGAACCTGGTGGGAGGTAATTGAATCATCAGGGCAAGTCTTTTCCATGCTGTTCTTGTGATCATGAATAAGTCTCATAAGAGCTGATGGTTTTATAAAGAAGAGTTTCCTTGCACAAGTTCTCTTCTCTTGTCTGCTACCATGTGAGATGTGCCTTTCACTTTTTTCCATAATTGTGAAGCCTCCCCAGCCACACGGAACTGTTAAGTCCATTAAACCTCTTCGTTTTGTAAATTGCCCAGTCTTGGGTATGTCTTTACCAGCAGTATGAAAACACAGTGCAAGAACCACAACTCGTCTTTTGTTCCCCCTTGTACTGATTTTAAAAAGCGAAAAAGAAGCAGTCCTTCACAAAAGAGAGAGCAGACATAACACTAAACAGATGCACTGCATTACAGAAGTGAAGGCTCAGAGTTTTAACTGAAAAACAAACCAAAGTAAAAATGACTTTCCTTCTTACAAATGTTTATTTTGTGAAAGGACACTTAGGCTAAGCCTCTTTAAAATATTACTGAAGAATGTAACTAGGCTTCTATGAGATAGACATTCATTTATTGAGAATTTCCCAGAGGCTTCTAAACAAGCATGTGCAGCAAGTTTTGTTTTATTTTTTTCACTATTTATTTTTGATGGAGGTTTTCAAAATGTGTGCCTTTTCCTCAGCAGTTTTTTAATTAGAATATCTGTTACATTTGAGTAGGACAATTGCTACAGCTGCTTGTTATGGCTGCTTCATTGACATGAAAGATCTTTAAAAAAATAAAAGAAAGAAAGATCTCAGAAACACTGTGCTTAAGAGAGAACCTGTACAGCCTCTAGGAAAATAAACGACCTTGAGTGAATGTGGGTTGTGGGCAATTCTGCCATAGAAGGTGGTGGTGTGAATCAAGAAAAACATACCTGGCCGGGGGCGGTGTCTCATGCCTGTAATCCTAGCACTTTGGGAGGTCAAGGCGGGTGGATCACGAAGTCAAGAGATCGAGACCATCCTGGTCAACATGGTGAAACCCCATCTTTACTAAAAATACAAAAAATCAGCTGGGCCTGGTGGCGCGTGCTTGTAATCCCAGCTACTCAGGAGGCTGAGGCAGGAGAATTGCCTGAACCCAGGAGGCGGAGGTTGCGGTGAGCCGAGATCGCATCATTGCACTCCAGCCTGGGTAACAAGAGCAAAACTCAGTCTCAAAAAAAAAAAAAAAAAAAAAAAAAAAAAAAAAAAAAAAAAAAAAAAGAAAAACATACCTAGGAAAATAATCTGGAGACTATAAAATGACTCAAAAAGGGAGAAATTGTTATTGGGGTAGTTGTTGATAATGGTGTCAAATTAATGCATTTCCTACCATCATTTTTATCTTTAAAATAAGAAAAAAAATCACAGACTAAAATGAAAACTTGGGCAAATGGTCCAAGGAAAGGGATACTAGGCTCATTTCCAAGTTGGTATATGAAACTCTGCACAGAGCAGCAGGCAGGTGTTTACCTTTACAGGATGGCTATGATGTTACTAATAAACTGATAATCACAGTGTAATTTGTTTCTTCCTATTTCAATAGTACCTCACTTATCAGGAGCATAATATCAGCTAATTTTCACCTACTAAAACAAGGTTGGTATGCACAGGGATAAGAAGAGTAGCCAAAGTCAAAAGTCACTAAATCCTGTGAGCTAGGGCGCTCATTTATCTACCTACTTGTGATGGTTCATACTGAGTGTCAACTTGATTGTATTGAAGAACACAAAGTATTGATCCTGGGTGTGTCTGTGAGGGTGTTGCCAAAGGAGATTAACATTTGAGTCAGTGTACTGGGAAAGGCAGACCCACCCTTAAATGGATGGGCACCATCTAATCAGCTGCCAGTGAATATAAAGCGGACAGAAAAATATGAAAAGTTGAGACTGGCCTAGCCTCCCAGCCTGCATCTTTCTCCCATGCTGGACGCTTCCTGCCCTGGAACATTGGACTCTAACTTCAGTTTTGAGACCTGGACTGGCTTTCCTTGTTTCTTAAGTTTGCAGACAACCTGTTATGGGCCCTGATGATCATGTAAGTTAATATTTTAACTTCTCTTTATATGTCTATGTATATATAAACTCCCATATATATATATATATATATATATATATATATATATACATACACTCCCCTCTCTATATGTATCTAATTTTATATATATATAAACTCTTCTCTCTCCATATATATCCTATTATATACATATATAAACTCCTATTTATATACATAATAGGATATATATGCATATATCCTGTTAGTTCTCCCAGGGGAGACATATATGTCCTATATTTATCTATATAGATAGATCTATATCTCTCTCTATATATCCTATTAGTTCTGTCCATCTAGAGAACCCTGACCAATACATTACCCAATCAGAACTTAATCACTCTCACTTTATGTACACTTCCAACAGCTTGTCTTTATGGTTTCCAAGACCACAGCAGACTATAAGCAACACAATTTTATTAAGGAGAAGACCTACTTAAATCAATGTACTGTACACTGATAGTATAAAAGTGAAAAAAGTTATGTATGGAATGCCTGCAATATGAAAGGCAATTAAGAGTGAATACAAAGACAAAAATCATAGCAGTACAGGAAGAATTATGTAGAAGTAAGCAGCCTTGTATGCCCTGATGACTCTCGAGTGCATCATTGCTTTACAAAATAATCATAATGTGCATAATGATGACCTTGAGTCATCAAAAAAAGGTTAGATAATGTTTGGCTCTCTCTAATTAAGAAGGCAGCAAAGTGTGCAATCAATTTTAGAAGTACTTCCTTATTTCTAAGTGCCTAAAATCTTAAATAAATTTTAAGCAAACCATTTGTTATCTAAAATCACTTATTTTAGTTCTGAATCACTGAAACTTATTCAAGTTCTACATCTTATTCTTCAGTCTCCCTTTCTCCACTTACATAAAGCCATGAGGGTGGGGTCCTTGTGATTGGATTACTGCCCTGTAATAAGACGCCAGAGATCTTCCTTCCCTCTCCCAGCCCACCATCTGAGAATCTAGCAAGACGGTTGTCATCTGCAAGCCATGAAAACAGCCATCACTGGAACCCAAGCATGCTGACAATGTGACCTTGGACTTCTAAGCTTGCTTCCAGAGCCATGTGAAATAAGGTACTGTTGTTTAAACCACCCAGTATGATATTCTGTTATGGAAGCCTGAGTAGACTAAGACACAGATATTCCCCTGTACTACCCCCAGCAACCACTGCTCCCCATTTGCTGTCATTCTCTTAGGAATGTCATTCAAGTTTTTACCTTTCTACCCTTAGGAGAGCATGGGAAGGAAACCATCTCCCCTGGGAGGGAGAAGGACAGATGAATGAATGATGAAGCTGGTCATTCCCTATTTATTTTATTTTCATCAACTCCTTGTGCCAGCAGTCTTTTGCTCTGTGCCATTTTCTCTGCAGACACTAACACTAGCAGTCTGAGCCTATGCAGTAAAGAGGCTGGTCATAATTATTTCCAAATATCTTAAGAAAGAGGAAAGAACAAAACTTGAATCAAAGAGATAGACAAATACTAGTATTGTTCATATTAAGACAAACTTCCACCAAGGATATCAGTTTTTTCAAATATGATCAGATAATCCTAAAAAGCGTTTCTTACTCCTAGAAGGAAAAAGAAAAATAAACTCAGCATTAGGAGAGCACAATGAAAAGAAACCGAAGTTCAACTCAATACATGAGTTAGCCCACAATTAGGTCATAGAGCACTCAGAGGGATGCTTTAAGGGCCACAAGTGAATGGCTGTGTTCAAGTCAAAACTTAGTATTAAGGGTCCCCATTTTGATTGGACCTCATTGGGGTCCAAGATCGTTGAATGCTGGCTCTAAAAAATATCCAAAATACTACCAAAACAATCTGTTGATAAGAAAACTCACTGTGATAAAGGAAGACACTGTCTCTTGACAGGCCTAGTAGCATCTCAGAAGGTAAGGGAAAAAGTTGGGATATCTATTGAGATTTTAAAGTCTGGTTTAAAGTGGATCTTTCAATTAGAGGACTTGGTTAGCATTGAGAGAGAGGCTTCATATGATCATTTAGGATTGGTAACCACAGCAAAACAGGTATTTTGAAGTGAGTAGTTCTGAGGGTGTTGGGGTACAAATTGTCTTTAACACTTTCCATTATAGACTTGCCACATGATATAGTTTGGATGCTAGCCTCCTCCAAATCTCACGTTGAAATTAATCCCCAGTATTGGAGATGGGGCCTGGTGGGGACTGTTTGGGTCATGGGGTCAGATCCCACAGGAATGGCTTGGTGTGGTCCTCATGATAGTAAGTTCTTGCAAGATCTAATTGTTTAAAGAAGTGTGGCATTTCCTCTTCCTCCTTCCACTCTCCAGTGACACCTGCTCCCCGCTTCACCTTCTGCTATGATTGTAAGCTTCCTGAGGCACTCACTGGAAGCAGATGCTTGTGCAGCCATGCTTGTACAGACTGCAGAACCCTGAGCCAATTATTTTCTTTGTAAATTACCCAGCCTCAGGTATTTCTTTATAGCAACACAAAAACAACCTAATACAGTGGGTCTTCCAGAAAGTTTCAAAAATGAACAATAAACTTATTTGTAACTTTTATCTTCTAAGGCAATAGCATCCTGGAATGGTAATGTTATATTGATGACAGCAGTGAATAGTTGTATTAGTTCATTTTCATGCTGCTATAAAGAACTACCTGAGACTGGGTAATTTAGAAGAAAAGAGGTTTAATCAACTCACAGTTCCACAGGCTTAACAGGAAGCATGGCCTGGAAGCCTCGGGAAATTTATAATCTCATGTCAGAAGATGAAGAGTTAACAAGCACATCTTACTATGGCGGAGTATGAGAACGAAAGAGAGCACGAAGAAAGGAAGTGCTACACTTTAAAACCATCAGATGTTGTGAGAACTCACTCACTATCATGATAACAGCAAGAGGAAAACCCACCCCCATGATTCCATTTCCTCCCCCTCCTCTGACCTGTGGGTATTACAATTCGAGATAGGATTTGGGTGGGGACACAGAATCAAACCATATCAGTAGTAAAATAGGCATAAGCCATGTAGATGATTTTCATTCTCCTTCCACGATGCCCTTGATTGTATTCAGTTATATATAGTCTATCCTCTTCACCCTTCACCTTCCCCAATAATGAGTAAACTCTTTCAGAGCAGAGCTTATATCTGCTCCTGATATATTGCTTGTTGTCTTTTCTGTCCTATGCATTGTTTTAGCTTCAAAGGCACCATCATCTCTAAGATATATATATTCTATAAGTCTCTATTATAATTTTCAACCCTTCTATAGGTAAAAAGCTGCTAAACCAGGTAATGAGGAATACCAGTTGCGGGTTTTTCTAAATGAAAAATTAAGAAAACTAAAATCATTTTAGAGTTCCAAAGTATTTTCAACGTAATTCATTCTGAACATGTATGTTTTGAGCTAATTTTAACATGGATTGATTGTTAAGCCTTTTCAATGGTTTGCAAAACAGTGCTAAGATAAGGTAGCTTGGGTATGTAAACATGTACTGTACTTTTTCCACAATATTAAGTGTTTGAAAATAATAGTTGTAAAAATTCCAATTCAGTGTGTCTTTATTTTTATTATACCAGTTTGTCATCAAAAAAAAAACACTGTTAAGTTTCCTAAGGAGAGAAGAGTTCCTCAGCACTTGAAAGGTCTCAGAAAGAAATGTTTTTAATTATCATTGGTATTATTTCATCTATGTTAGTCACCAGTGCCACCATTGATGAGCTTCCCTATGAATCTGCTTTTATGTCTCATAAAATACTTTTCTCTTTTAGAAATCTTGTTGCTCTTTTTTTACTTACTTTCCTTGCATTTTATGTGTCATTTGACTAAATATTATAAGGAAAGAAATTTGAGGTAAATTATAACTTTAAAAAAAGGTGTCTTAGAGACATTACTTGAAGCTACAATAGGAAAGCTCTATGAAAACAGTGATGACACAATAGTGGTCAGACTTTTGACTGCAGTTTACCACACCCAGTATTGTACCAGCATGCTGGGCATTTTTTCCATTATTTCCAAAGCCTGTTTCACATTCCAGATTCAAAAATGAGACCGCTGGGTGACTGTGCAGATGAGAATGTGAATGTTTCTACTTCACATTATCACTCAGGGGCCCCTCATTTCCTTAGGTAATCTGTTTGGGTCTCTTTTGAGGGGAGTTTCAAGAACAGTGGTAAGCCAAATAACAAACTGTGCTCTCCAAAGCTGTCAGGTGATGGATTCTAGTGTCTCTGGAAGGCAGCAAAATAGTGTTATATGGAAACAAGTGAATCCAAATTGACCAAAACGTGCCCCTGGCTCTTAACATTTTCTTTTGTTTTCACATCATGATCTGCATCTTTTTAAATGTTCCAGAGAAAAGTTGCTAAGAAATGCAACTGCAAGAGATATCAGAGATAAGGTGAACAGTGCCTTTTATCCTGCTATTAAAATCTTGAAAGATTTAACTACAGTTAGGCAGGTAAATGCCTACAACTGTATTTCCCAAAATGTTGTGGATACTAGTCAATACATGTGTAAAAAGGGTAACTTCTTTACATACATTTGAGAAAGCTGGATTAAATAAACTTAAATAGATTTCTTGACTGAAGGATTTCTAGACCCTTTACTAAGTTCTGAGAGTAATATAGTATACAATGTTTTCCCAGTTAAGGTTTAAAACATAATACTTTTTCACAGAGTATTTATCAGGATGAACATTCAAGGAAAATTCATTGGAAAATTCAAGGCTGTAGAATCAATATTAATTAACAAATGATTCCAGTCAGCTCTCTTGCATGTGCTCTGTCAAAAGCAGATGCAATTGATCTTCTCTTATTGATAATTCCCACCAAAGACATGGGACTAAATCCAAATGTACACAATGAGCTATATACCTGTCCCTCACCATTTGCTAGCCAAGGGAAAAAAAGAATATGCATGCTAGATGGCCCAGAACACATGCTTATCCCTAATATCACCACCTCTGTAGGGCGGGAAAGATAATAGAGTCAGTCCATCCACATGGACTAAGTGGGAAATCATTGGCTACTACACTGATATAATAATACCTACTTTACATGATTTTCCGGATTAAATAAGATAATGTATTTGAAGTACTTTAGTACAATGCCTGGTTCACAGGGAGTATGGAAAGTGGTAACTGCTATAATCATAACAACATCAATATATCATTACACCCTTTCTATCTGTAGGGCATAGTCTTCCGCAGGCCTTCTAATCTAGAGCAACAGATTCCCAACTGACCTATTTCAAGAAGCCTCTCTGATAATTCCTCAGATTACACTGAAATTATCTTGCAGAAATTCTTATCTGAGTATGACACTCCTCTACTATTTATAAAATTCTCTATAAAATAAAGTTCAAACCTTGAGCACAGAAAGGTCTCTCTGCTGTCTGGTAAAAGTCTACCTTTCTAAGTTCATCTTCCACCATTTCCCTTATTTGATGGTCTCTACACTTTAGGTCCACTGCACCTGTTATCCCTGAAAGCATAACATACTGTCATCCATGCATCCACTAATTCCTGTCCTCTGCATGTACTCCTACTGTTTTCTCAAATTGGGATATGCTTCCCCAGACTCTAAGTGCAGAAAGTCTTTGAGGCCAACTCAATTACTACCTAGATACCAGTCAGACTTACTCACATTTGCCTGTCTGCATCTGCACCATTTTTACTGCTTTTACAGCACTTCTCACACATCCTTGTATACATGGTTACTTGTGCAAGTGTCTATTTCCATGCATTACTCAGGACTGTCTGTCCCAGGGGATAGAAACATTATTTGAACTTGCATGGGAAAAAACATACAGATTAAATTTAAAAGATCCTGAATCACTCAAGTAATTCATAGCATACATCCAGGTAGTCGCCCTTCCATGGTTTATCAAAAGCAGATAAAATCAATCATCTTTTAAAATAACTAAACTACAAACGAGCAGAAAGAAACCCGGATTTCTGGGAAAAAAATCACAACCACAGGCAAAAACACCACCAGAATTTTATTTCAAAGACAAACAAACACACATTGGTTTCTCTCCTTGAGTGGGATTTCCTTTTCTTTCTGAGGCATATCAAGGTGTAATTTACATATAGGAAAATACATCCTTCCTCATGTATTACATGAAAATACATCTATTAGTTATGGCAAACACATACAGTCATGTAACAACCATCATAAACAAGATACGAAATAATTCTATCGCCCTTCAAAATTCTCTTATGCCCCTTTAGAACAAAACTCTACCTGCAGCTCCACGCCCTGGCAACCACTAATCTGCTTTCTGTCCCCTTAGTTTTATCTTTTTCAGAATGTCATATGCAGTCATACAAGATGTATCCGATTGAGTCTGACTTCTGTCACTGAGCATAATACATTTGAGATTTATTCACTTTATTCCATGCATCCAGAATTCATTGTTCTTGCCTTACTCCTCTAATCGGGATCTCTTGTATTATGCTGAATGTGAGTGATGTGAGTGGACATCATTGCTTTTGTCCTGATCCCAGAAGAAAAGTATTCATTATTCATCATTAAGTACAATATTACCTGTTATGTTTTTCATAAATGACCTTTATCAGGTTGATGAAGTCTTGTATTCATAATTCACTGAGAATTTTTGGTAACGTTGCTGTTGTTTTAAACCATGAATGAAAATTGAATTTTGTAAAATGCTTTTTAAAAATCCATTGTGAAAAAGTCTGCTGATTCAATGAATTGTATTGATTGATTTTTCAATGTTGAAACAGTTTTGTATCTCCAGGATAAACCCCACTTGGTCATAACATATTATCCTTTTTACATATTATTGGATTCTACTTTCTAATATTTCCTTGATGATTTGAATATCTGTTAATGATTGATACTGACTTTTCATTTTCTTTATCTGTCATATGTCTGCCTGGTGTTGCTATCAAGGTAAAACGAGTTAAATGTTCTCTATTTTCTGGAAGAGTTTGTGTAGACTTGCTATTTCTTCCCTAAATGCTTAATAGAAAGGTTTTAAACTATAAATTATGTTTCTCTAATAGGCACAGGACTATTAAGGCTGTCTATTTATTTTCGTGTTAACTTCAGTAGTTTTTGTCGTTTAAGGAGCTTACCCCTATTATCTAAATTATTGAATATGTGGGCATATATACAGTTGTTTGTAACAATCCCTTATCCTTTTATTTTCTGTAGAATTAATAGTGATGTTCCTTCTTTCATTTCTGATATTCATAATTTTGTGTTTTCTTTTTTTGGCCCTTGCTCAGTCTAGGAACAGGTTTATCAATTTTATTGATCTTTAGAAAGAAACTCATTTTTGGTTTCATTGACATTATCTATTTTTCTCCAGTTTTTAAATTTCTTCAATTTTCACTTTTATCTCTATTATTATTTTTTGCTTTTGGAGTTAATTTAATTCTCTTTTACTAGATTCTTAATATCTAGATTACAGATTTCAAGTCTTTCTTCTTAGCTAATTTAAGTGTTTAATTCTATAAATTGAAAATACAGTACTTCTTTAGATGCATCCCACATGTTTGGTATGTTGGGTTCTTGTTTTCACTCAACTTAAAATATTTCTTAAGCTGAGCACAGTGTCACATGCCTCTAGTCCCAGCTACTCAGTAGGATGAGGTAGGAGGCTCACTTGAGCCAAGGAGTTCAAGACCAGCCTGGGCAACAGCGGCAGATACCATTTCTTTTTTTTAAAAAAGTATATCTACGTACATACATATTTATTTCTCTAATTGCCTCTGTGACTTTCTCTTTAACCTATGCATTATTTAGAAGCGTGCTGTTTACCTTCCAAAATACGTATTTATTTTCTACGTAACTTTCTGTTATAGGTTTTCTTTTTTTGCTTAATTCCATTATGGTCAGAGAATATACTCTGTATGATTTCAAATCTTCTAAATATCTTTAAATTTTGTATAGCCAAGAATATGGTATACCTTTATGAATGTCCCGTGTGTATTTAAACAGTATATAAATTGGGTGGAGTGTTCTATAAATGTCAATTCATTTAACGTGGTTGATAGTGTTGTTCATGTCTTCTATATCTTTACTAATTGTATATCTCTTTGTTCTCTCAATTACTGAGAGAGTATTGAGTTATCTGGCTACAATTGTGGATTTATATATTTCTACTTCTAGTTCTATCAATTTTGCTTCATGTAATTTGAAATCCTATTTTTAGGCATATATATATTTGGAATTGTTATGACTTCTTAGTCATTAAATTCTTTTTTCAGTTTGTAATGTGCATGGGTAGGTTCTCAGTTCCATCAAGACCTCCTCACTTACAGAGATTATGAGCAATGCCAAATCCTGCCTTTCACATTTTGGTTTCTATCACCGGATTGACTGTCTTTCCTAGGGAAATTGAAAAACAAATTCAAACTGACCATTTATGTTTTTACTCAACCCTGGAGCAATATTGTGACAAGGTATTAGGTTGGTGCAACATAATTGCAGTTTTTGCCAATAGCAAAGTCTATAAGAACACAGTACCTACTCCATAAATGGCACCATCAGAAAGAAGGAAGGAGCAGTTCACAGGAGAGGGATACTGGGAAGACAGTACCATAGTTTTCCACCATACTCTCTTTTAAATTACAAACATATTGAAATCATTACAGCTGTCATGCTAGTCATGTTTATCCTAAAAACAATCTAGCAAAATATTCAACATAGAAAGGGTGGCTGATTGCTTACAACCAACTTCTCTCTTTGCCCAATCCTGTTTCTTTTCCTTCTCCAATAGATGTTAATCCTGAGAGTTTTATTCTGTGTAGTGTATACTTCCTGCACATTAATGTCCATCTCAGACATTACTGCTTCCCAGTAACCTAACTTGCAACTTAATCCCTTTTAAGAACCTAATAGAAGATACGGCTAGAAAAAAATTACCATATAAACATTTAATTTTATATAAATTTGGGGCATCCACAACACCCTTCTTGAACTCATGTTGGATGGTAAGAGGACAGTCTATTTCATTTTGTAAATAAAGGAAGTTATTCTCAGAGGTACTTGTAATGTAATTTGCCTAATGTCATATAATGACTCAATAGAACAACTAAGACTATATCCTATTCTATAGTCATATAGATTTTTCACCATCTTGAGAAGTTTGGCGCATTTAACTATTTCTAAATTTTTAATTATTCAAATTAACCTAATAATTGTGGAAAATCTATCATGTTCGAGATATCATGCTTAATGTCTACCCTATACTATTTCATTGAATTTCAGAGGAAACTTTTGAAGCTGACACAATATTACCATTTTGTAAATGGCAAAACTGAGGCTTACAGGTAACTTTTCAGAGGTAGTAGAAGAGCCAAGATTCAGTAGTCTTTTTATCGAACTGGTTCTCCTAACAGCAATACTGTAAACACACATTGGAAATGTTTTTGGGTATAAAACATTTTATTGATTTTTTCATATATTATAGAGCTATACAACAGGAATCTTGCACAAAATCTGAAAACTTGAACTCATTTCAAATGGTTAGTTCATTAGCTCAGCAAACAACACTTTCAAGTGCTTACTATATGCCAAGAGCTTCAACAATGACCAAAAAAGGCATAGTTTCTAACTATAATAAATGTATAGACTGGCAGGGATATAGACTTAAATTATTATATGTGTAATTCAGTTTAATTAATGCCAAGCTTCATTTTTGTATCAAATTATGATAAAGTATACAGTGTTTTAAAGATATTTAATAGGGGTACCTAAAATAGAATCAGAAGGTTAGAAAAGACTTTCTTGAGGGAGCAGCATTCAGGTTAAGAATAAAAGATGAGTAAAGGAGAATACAGTGGATTGAGATATATTCAGTATATAAAATAAGAATAAAAGAGATGGGTCTATTTTTTTAGTGAAGAACAACCACATACCTAGGTTCTTAGTAGTTTTGATTACCCCTGCCTCCATCTGTTCTGTTTTGAGCATGTTTTATCTTGTTTATACTATGTTTTTACCATGTTTGCTCTCTCTTCTTCAGTTCTGTAATTATTCTCTTTGATGAATGAAAATTAAATATTAGTAGTAGTTCTCATTTTCTTTTTGGTATAAGCAGCCATCTCTGTGGAATAATTTGAGGAAAACACTGAAAGCAGCCTATGTAGTACTTCACCATCTAACTCTCCCTTCACTATCTCCCCAACCCAACACACACAGCTATAACATACCTCTCACTCAGCCTCTTCATTCATTTAAGTACTTATTACTTTCCATGGTCCTTATTTGGAAAGGCAAATCCTTCTACGAGTCATTATAAATAAAGCCCCTAAATCAGGCTGAATTATTTAATCACATTCCTGTTCTCCTTATAGCCCAGAAGAACAGGTGTCAGCAACCTGCCCAAACATTTGAAAACACTGTGAATCCCTGACATTGCTCAAGTCTTAGAACCCAGTTGCTATGATCTGCACATTTGTGTCCCCCCAAAATTCATAAGTTAAAATCTAACTCCTAAGGTGATGATATTAGGAGGTAGGGCCGTTGAGAGGTGATTAGGACATGAGGGCAGAGCCCTCAGTGAATAGGATTAGTGCCCTTATAAAAGAGGTCCCAGAGAGCTAGCAAGTTTATTCCACCATTCGAGACATGTAGAAGGTACCATCCATGAAACAGCATGGGGATCCCTCAACTGAGTCAACAGATGCCTTGATCTGAACTTCTCAGCCTCAGAACTGTGAGGAATAAATTTCCGTTATTTATAAGCCACCCAATATATGGTATTTTGTTATAGCTGCCAGTGCAGACTTAGACATCCATATTCCCCCTCTGTGCCTTTTTTCTCTATCTTTGGTACTTTGCAGTGTCACTCAGAAAGTTGCAGACCAGTGTTCAAACTATTGATGGGGCATTCTCTGCTCTCCTGGAAAAGTAGCCAGGCATTCTCACAATCAGCCAAGTGACCTTCATATCTAAGGAGAGCCACTCAACCCATGCTTATCCCCTGGGCCCACTTAATAAGGGCCATTTGTCTCTATTGCATGATCCTGTGGTCTAAAGTTTAATATATGACCTGAGAAACTAAGAAAAGTTTAATACATTGACAAGAATTAGGGAGAAAAATAATCTTACTGGGATCTTACAATTTCCATAATATTTATTTTCCTCAGCTGCAAAATAAGATTATTGGACAACCCAGCCAAAAAGATCTCTTCCAGCTAGGGTGGCCAACTTGTTCCAGTTTGCCTAAGATAGCCGATTTTAAAACTAAAAGTGTCACACCCTGGAGACCCTCTCATTTCCTAGCAACCCAGGATAGTTGGTCATCCGGTTTTTTTCTCCAGTCCATGAGGAAGTCCTAACTCATCATTTGATTGATATACACATATTTAGATACATTTTTTGGTTTCAAAAGTAGTAAGTTTCAACTTCATCATGCTTAATTTCAGCAGAAATGCAAATAATTCTGTCTCATTTCTCAGATGAGCTTTAGACTTTATATACTCTGCAATGTTGGTTAATTCAGGCAAATGAATGCTAAAAGGGTAGAAAGTGGACATTTCTTTCTTTCTTTCTCCTTCCTTCCTTTCCTCCCTCCCTCCCTTCCTCCCTCTTTCCTTCCTTTCTTTCTTTCTCTCTCTTTCTCTCTTTCTTTCTTTCTTTTTTTGAGACTGAGTCTGGCTCCATCGCCAGGCTGGAGTGCAGTGGGGTGATCTCAGCTCACTGCAACCTCTGCCCTCCAGGTTTAAGCGATTCTCCTGCCTCAGCCTCCCAAGTAGCTGGGACTACCTGTGTGCATCAACACACTCAGCTAATTTTTGTATTTTTCAGTAGAGACAAGTTGGCCAGGATAGTCTCATTCTCTTGACCTCGTGATCTACCCACCTCCACCTCCCAAAGTGTTGGGATTACAGGCATGAGCCACTGCACCCAACCGACATTTCTTTTCTTTGTGAACTTTTTGGCTATGCCCCACTGCATGTTTGGAGCCCAATGTGTGGCAGGGGAGCTGTGATGGGCCTCAGAGGACAAAGACATGTCATCAGAGGTTTTCTTGAGAGCTGATCTCTCGGTATCATGTACCTGACAGGGCAAAACAATGTACATTGTCTAAAACCAAGGGTTACAGTATCTGTAAATGCTACACAAATTATTACTTATTTGATATTCATGTTAATATCATTTTTGTGATTATTCCAAATTTCATTTTACACTTTCTGCTTAGAAAGAAAGCAATGACTTCATCTTCAGCTACTATTCTGAAATCAGTCATAGTGACTAAAACCCCTTGTTCTCATCACAAAAGAAAGAAATCAGGTGACCTTTGCTCTGACCTATGACTTGATATTTACAAAAGCGATTTATAGGGTGGGCCAATTTCCCTTTATCATTCAGAGACATTTGGTAAAGCTCTACTCTTTTTTTTTTAAGTGGCTTAGAGGGCAATTTAGGGCTGTGTACCGTATGATTACATCTAGAAAGAAATAGTTAATTTGGAATTTTGGCCATCAACATTGATTTTCTCAAAATCAATCAAGTATAACATGGAGGCTGTATAAGTCAGCAATTAAAATCAGTGTTTCACTATCAAAATGAAATCAGTTGTCTACTGCTCTGGTGGTTAGAGGTCATAGATATAGAGATACACAGTCTGAGACCTTCAGCATTAAACCTTTCTCAGTTTTCACCACCACTCCCTCTACTACTGCGTCAGCAAGAAGAGGACTGCAGCAACTATGTAGTACTCAAACTGTAAAGGTTACTTGGCTAATAAAGAGATGAATGCCCCCAAAATAGAGCACAGTCACATCCCTGTACTGCATGTAACTTATTTACCTTTCATTCTAATTGTTATGATTATAAACAGAAGTTTAAAAAGGGTAAAAAATCAGAAGAGAAGAAAAGCATTAGGTAATCAAAACAATGATGCAAGCACCCAGCATTGCGCTTTTTCCCTGGCAATCTTTTTCTCAGGCTA